AACGCTCGCTGCGCTGCCGGGTAGGGAATTCCATCCAGAGAAGTGCCTTTTCCAGGCTCGCAGCACTTGGGTGCTGGGAAATGGGATGTGTTTCTCTTTTAAAAGAAATGGCTCAAATGCTTCAGGTTGTTGAAAGTTCTCAGCCAAGTTAGTGGTAGCAGCACTAAGAGGGTGAGGGAGGTTATCATGTCTCTAGTGTGATGACAGTTGTGAAAGGGGGTCAATACTGTCAAATATGCATAAAGATATAAAGGTGGGTTGTGCTAGTGCTCTGCCTAGCCGAGAGGCAAAGAGGACTGCCAGTACAGTTGAAATAAAACAAATGTTGCTGTTACTAAGCACGAAAGTCAACAAACAAAATATTAGGGAGAGGCAGTGCAGAATACTGAAGATGTCACTAGAGTGAAGGAAGGAAGAGGCTATTTCAGAGAAGCAAAGCAGAGATCTGGGAAATGAAGAGAAGCAAGAGTTAAATCCAAGTTCTGCTGTTGGCTTTCTGCATGGACCTTACTACATGATTTGTTTTCTCAGTCATACAAGGATATTTATTTATCTGGTCCCTAAAGTAATAGGGCAATATTATTGTAAGTATTTAAGATGCAGGATGCTTAACAAATGCATAGTATTTTCTCAGAAATAAGTAATGTCAGACTGATCCTGTGTTTGAAGAGTAGCCTATGAGGAGATCATAGGGTCTAGCTGCTTCATTTTTTTAATGGATTCTGGAGTATAGTTATTTGTGCTGCAGTCAGTGTCCAGCTGTTTTCAAGACTGTTCCAAGTCTTGTGTTTCTGAGGTTGTGCTGGTAGTGCTGGATATGGCATTTTGGAGTATCAACAGCTGAACACACTGGACATGCACCCCAGATAGTTTTTATCTGCTGTGCTGGAGGCTGTAATATAATGGCTAGTGACACAGCACTTGTGGCTCTGATTCTGCAGTGTGTGACTGCACATTGTCTTTTGGTGCTGACTTTAATACCTTTCTGTCTAGAAATGTGAACATAACCTGAGCAAACCAGAATTCAATCCAACATCTATCAAATTCAAGATCCAGCTGGTTGCTGTGTAAGTAGGAAATGGGGGCTGGGGACAGCAACTCCCTGCTTATGCTTAGTTAATGCCTTCTATTTAAATTTCCTTTGACCTGTTGTGGGATTGTGTCATCCCTTAGGATCGTGTAATCACCTTTTTTAATTATATTTAGCTTATCTGTAATAGGCTGGCTTGCTGATCTACTTAAGATTTCAGCAGTTTGACAAAAATACTGCATGCTGTGCCAGCCGCAGACTGTAGCAGGGTTTTGTAGGATTAGGGTTATGCTGCAAAATGACCCTTCATTTTTCCTTTTAGGAAAGCTCTAATAGCTTTACAGACAGCAGCAGAGTCCCTCACAGTCATTTGCTCTGTTATTTTGTAGTAACTACATCCCTGAAGTGAGAATCATGTCTATTCCCAACCTGCGCTACATGAAGGTCAGTAGCTTTTCCAGAAGTGTCTTAGGCTGAGACATAGCCAGGAGCTGTGAATGTGGGAATCTTTTAGGAAGATGACATGGTGTGATGATTGTTCCCTGAGGGCTCCACTCACTCCATTTAGAGGGTACAGGGTTTAAGGGAGTGGCCAGAGTAACACTGTATGTACTTGTCACTGCAGCAGTAGATTGCTGTGCAGTGTGACATCATCACTTGCCAATGTCTGAAGAATAAAAGGTGTGGAACTGAGATTTCAGCTAGACTCCCAAAATACATATTTCTTATATTAATTAAGAGTTTTGCATGGCATTGGTGCCTGTTTTATGAACAGGGGGTAGTCTCTGTCCATCCATTGAGAGGATGTGATGCAGTTTTTGAATGTGTTGATGAGTCAGAGAAGATGGAGATGCTTACAGTAACAATGAATTTTCATACAATTGCTTCTTGAACTTTGATTCCTGAATCTCCTCAGGAGAGCCAAGTCCTTCTGACTCTGACTAATCCCGTGGAGAACGTCACACATGTCACATTGCTGGAGTGTGAGGAGGGAGACCCTGATAACATCAACAGCACTGCCAAGGTATTGATTGTACCCTCCTGCTGGGTAAGTCCAAGCCTCTTCCAGGGTTTGCCACTCCCATTTGTCCTTCCACAGGACACACTTTTCATATGTCCTTCAGCCCCTGCTAACTGTGCTGCCTTTCCCTCCTTGGAGCTTAAATGACTGTCACAATTGTGACAGCAGCTCATTAAGTATTTTGAAATTGTGTCAGTTTGTTGATATCTAAAACCGAAGGGAGAAATTTATTATTTCACTGTCAGGATGGTAATCAAGCGGTCCTGAAGCAGGGAAAAGCTGAGGATGAATCACTTTTCTGTTAAACCACAGTGAAGCAGACCTCAGAAGAGAAGAGCCCTCTCCTGCTTGCAGTGCAGGTGGTGATCAGTGCTGAAAGGCTTCTTTCTCTCCATGCTCTGTTTCAGGTGGCAGTTCCTCCCAAGGAGCTTATTCTGGCTGGCAAAGATGCTGCAGCAGAGTATGATGAGCTGGCAGAGCCTCAAGACTTCCAGGATGACCCTGAGTGAGTGTCCCGTGGGGATCCTCTCCCTTAAAAACTTGTCTCTTTGAGTAACTCCCTCTCCTCCTGTGTGCCTTCAGTGTGGTTTGAGTTCCTTTGAGAGCATTGTTCTGCTTAGAACAATGCTTTGAGAACTTGGCTGACCCAGTGTTCCTGTGTGTTCTGCCTTGCAGCGTTATTGCCTTTAGAAAAGCCAATAAAGTGGGAGTTTTCATCAAGGTCACCCCACAGAAAGAAGAGGGTGAAGTGACCGTGAGTTTCAAGATGAAGCACGAGTTCAAAAACCTCACTGCTCCCATCCGGCCCAACGAGGATGGTGACCACACGTCGGAGGTGATCTGGCTCACCCATCACGTGGAGCTCAGCCTCGGCCCCGTGCTCCCGTAGCGGCTCCCAGCGCTCGCTCCCGACGGCTGGATGGACTGGCACCCGGAGAAAGCACCTGGTGGAAGGTTCTGCCAGAGCTCCTTTGTGATGTGTGGGTGTGCCACGGGCCCGGCCAGCTGCCAGGAGGGGGCTGAGGCTGCCGTGGTTTGGGCTGGTTTGTTTTCTCTCCCCTTGTCGTAGTGCCCACTAACCACCACTCCACTTCCCCTCACTGCCACAGGCTAGAGTAACTTGCAGCACGTCTTAGAGCACAGAAGATCTTCCTCAACAGATGATTAGGGCTGAATTTGGATTTAGCAGCAGAAAAGAACCCATACTGTTTTTTTTCCCCGTGTCAGCCCACAAAGCTGATGTTACATACCCAATGAACAGCTTCTCTTTCACAAAGGGCAATGCCCTGACCAAACAAACAGTTTAAGGAGTGTCCCTGCCTTCTGCATTCTGGCAAGTTACTGCCAGCAGCATGATCTTTTCTCTTGGTTTTCTGCTCTGTCATAGAATACCTCAACTGTGGGGGCTGGGCCATAGGGCCCTACCCCTCTGGCCTATGTAGCTTGCTTAGCCAAGGTGGTAGAGGTTTTTTCACAAAGGAGTTGATCAGTTTGCCTTTAAACTTTAAACATAGTGTACTGTAGTGTTCATGGATCTGACTGGCAACCAAGCCCACCATCAGACCGCTGCATCTCAGCTGGATGTGCACAGGATGTGCTGAAAGCTGGGAATTCAGGTTCTGCTGCAGCTCTTGACTGAGGCAGGAATGCTCTGGAGAAGCAGGGATGCTCCAGAGAGGCTCCCTGGCAGAGCTCAGCTCAGTAAATGTTGTGTTGCTAGGGGTTGTAGCAATGAGGTTATGAAACGTGAAGCGTTAAGATTAGTTCTGGTAATTATAAAGCTACAGCAGTGATTTGGGTTGTAATCTTTGTTTTTCCAGTTAGGGCGGGTGGGAGGGAGGTGTAAAGGTGGAAACTCATTATATGTTAACTACACACACTGTACCAGAAGGTCATGTACCCCAGGGTATAATTTGGCTGCAGTCCAAGCTAAAATGAGTGATTAAGAGCTGTGTATCCAGGAGACTGGCTTACCAAGAAGTGCATGGCTGGTGCAGGCAGGTGAGATGGCTCTTCCTGCAGAGCATTCCCACTTCAGACGTTGACCTTTGTTAAACATTTCTGAGGGGCTTTGACGTGCTGCTGTGCTGGGAAAGGCTTGAATACCAGCCAGCCACGGCCGTGTCATGATGCTTGTGCCATGGCTCTGGCAGCCTGCATCTGCGAATCCTCTGCGTGGAGGGGCAGGATGAGGCTGCCTGCTCTCTGGGGGGGTGGTGCAGCATCCCAAAACATCTCCCCTAGCAAAGGAACCTGCTGTGGTGTGCTGGAGGGGCTCACAGCTCACAGGCCTGGTCCCACAGCGGGTCTCTGCAGCGAGGCATCAGTTTACAGCTCTGTGTAGGTGACACACAGATGTACAGCATGAGTTAGAGACTTGTAGTTAGTAGTTAATGTGTAGTGCTAGTGCCTGCTGCGGCTTTCCCTGTCTAGATAACAAAGCACTTCACCTCTGTCCACAACTTCTGTTCAGTAGCCAAAACAGCTGCTGCACTTGCTACCACAGAAAGACCTCCCAGGAGCCAAGCCTAGAGCTGTGCCTGGGGCTGGGGTTTGCTGCAGGCAGTGACCTGCGCCCTTCTCGCTGCAAACAAAAGGTGCATTGGGTTGTGTCGCTCTGACAGCTGGGCGAGCTCTTCTCTCCTAGGCCATAGGAAAGGCATTGGCGTCTCCCTGCGTCTGTCCCTGCTCCGCCACAGGCGCCTGTTGCCTGATGCTTGACGTCGTGTAGTGATCTTCAATAAACCACACGTGGCTCTTGGATTCTTTGCGCTGGCTTTTATTCCAAAATTATCATTATTTAAACAAAACAGAGGGCGGAGCTCCCCCGTCTTTTCCCAATGGTCCCGTCCCCGTGCTCCCCCCGCCTCCTTTCTCGTGGTCTCGCCCGTGGAGCTGTGCCTGGAGCGCCGCTTGCCGCCGCGCGCGGTGACGTCACCGCTGCCTCAGCCCGCCTTTTCCGTCACGGCGCTGCGGGGTGTGGCGTCACTTCCGGCCGCCGCCTGCCGGCGCGGAGCGCGGCCGCCATGTCCACATCGCTGGGCTCCAACACCTACAACCGCCAGAACTGGGAGGATGCGGTGAGCGGCGCCGCGGGGGCCGGCAGGAGCGGGCCTGGCCCGGCGGGGCCCTGCTCCGCCGCGGGAGGGGCGGGGCGGCAGCGCCGCGAGGCGAGCAGAGCGCGGGGAGGCGGCCCCGGGGCTGGGACCTTCTCTGGGGACCCGCGCTGGGGACCGGCCCTGGGGATCTGCCATCCTCCCTGGGGATCTGCCATCCTCCCTGGGGACCGGCCGTCCTCCCTGGGGACCCGCCCCCTGCGGCCGAGCCGCCCCGGAGGGCTCCACCGCGGTTCCCCGGCTCTCCTTTCGGGCAGAGGGGACGAGCTGCTCCCCCGCGCCGCGCTGCAGGGGCTGTGGCAGCTGCGGGGCCCGAGCTGGGCCCCTCGAGTGTCCCTGGCCGCGTCCCCTCCAGCTGGAGCCCTTCCCGAGTGGGCCCAGTGCATACAGTCGCTGCTGAGGCATCACGGGGGCCATGTCACCTGCTGCAGTCCAGGCACTGACAGCTTCAGATCTTAATAATCTCTTTTTATTTGCTTATTTTAAGTTTTACAACAAGCTGCAATAACAACCATAGTATGATTCTATATTAATTTTGGTCTGGGTCGTGGCTTGCAGCTCTCCCGGTGTCTCTGAATCCATTTGCATCTTTTAATCATCTGATGAGTTAAACTAGATCATTTTTCAGAGTGTAACTTGAATGCTGTTGTGATGGCAGAGCTTGTGACAAATTCCCAATTTTCTTCTTGCTCAATTCAGGACTTCCCTATCCTGTGCCAGACGTGTCTTGGAGAAAATCCCTATATCCGGATGGTATGTGCCTCTTGGAGCCTGCAGTCCTTCCCTCTCTCTGTGGTGGCCCTAAAACTGTGGGCTTGGGACTGAAATCGGGCTGGGTGCAGGAGGAGATGCTGTGCACACTCCTGAACAGCTGGTTCTGCACAGCAGGGTCTGGTTCCAGCTGCTGTTGGTGTGTAATCTCACAGTTAGGGTGTGAATTAAGAACAAATCAATCACGAAGGTGAGGAGATTACCCAGCCCAATGTCTGGAGTACAGGAAACAGTAGAAAATGAAATTTTTGTATTGGCAAGCTCCAACATGGACAGCTGTGAGGTGCTCAAATTCTAATCAGTGCAATTTCTAAAATGTGACAGACATGCACCTCTAAAGTCAAGTTAAAGGTAACTTAGGAAGGTAGCTTAAGTTCCTGCTTGTTTTCCTGGGTTTGCTTTGTGCAGGGTGAGTCAGTCCATGTTCTGTTGCTTTTCTCTGCCTGCCCGGGTTGCCCATGACCTACATTGACATTATCTCCTTCACATTCGTGTTCCACAAAGTTTGCTGAGGGAGATTGGGCTGTTCTTGTGAAACATAACCCTGATGCTACTGTAGGGGATATTTCTAAACCCGTTTGTTTCCATGAGTTATTCAATGTAGCATCATCTCGCCTTAAAAAGAGCTATTAATGCTCCTTTTCATTCTCACCTTTCATCAGTACAGGAGGTGGGACTTAAAGTACTCTGTTTTTAATTGAAGTTTCTAAACCAAAAGTGTATTGAGAGTATTTAGGATTTGTATTTTTTGTCCTGTTGACTGTCCAAGGTGTAAGCCAAATACTTAGGGATGAGTGAGTCTAAATGCAGCATAATTATGAAAAAACCTACTGTGTTACAACATCAATGATATGTTCCATGTTTTACGTTGAATTGGTGAAGCTTCATGGTTTTTTATTTTTTATATTTCAGACCAAAGAAAAATATGGAAAAGAATGCAAGGTATGTTTGTGTGTTTTGACGAAAGATTGTCAAAATCAGTGCAGATCTAGGAACAATTCATCTTAAAGATTAAAAACCTGTCAGCTTCAGAAGAGTGCTTATCTGGGTTAACTTAAAATGTTTATGTAACTACATACATTTTTAGGTTAGTCTGCTGTGCTTGTTAGAGTCAGTTGGTCCTAAAATAGTAAAATTATTGAGTAAATCCTGAGTCTGTAAACAAATCTTGATGTTTATCAGAATGAGGTTTTGCAAATACTGTTGTACTATATGTGAAGTTATTGCAGGATTTAAAATGATCCATGTCTTCTTGGGTGAGTTTGTTTTTTTTTACTGAGAAGTGCAAAATACCTGGAGTTTGGGTTTTACTATGTATGTTATTCATGTTATTTGGTGATTTGTGTTGTCTGCCCAAGAAATAAGCCACAATTATTTCCAAGAGCAAGAAACAATCAGTGTTGCCTGGACTGAGGGAAATTAAAGGAGGCTTTTACCCTTTTATCAGTTTCCATCTGAGGTAGTAGAGAAAAGGTATAATTTGGAGTCTGTACATATTGAGATTGTATTGTGTACTCAAGGTGTACATGCAGAGGAAGCAAATGCCTCATTCCATGAGATAAGAGGGAGCATCACTCTTCTGCACCAAAGCTGTCATAAGCTCTTCCAGGTTGCTGCTGTGCTGGTGCCTGATATACCCATTGTTGTAATTCATCTCTAGAAGCTCCACACTGACATCACCTGGAATCAAAGAGAATTTGTAGATCTTTGAGTAGATCTGCACTTGGATTATTGCATTAAATAAAAAGAAAAGCAGCAACAAAAACAAAACAAAACAAAAAAAATTCTCTAAAACTTTTTGTTGTCAAAGTAAAACCCCAAATAAAAACAAATATTTTCTGAGCTCCGAGTCTTAGCTTTAGGACAAAGGAGTTGTATTTATGGTTTGGAGAAGCTGGATGAGTTTGGAGTTTGTTTCCATGCAAGAAGCAGAATGGCAGCTCTGTGTAGAGTGAACCCAGTGCCACCCTTGTGTCCCAGATTTGTGCCAGGCCCTTCACGGTGTTCCGCTGGTGCCCCGGGGTGCGGATGCGCTTCAAGAAGACAGAAGTGTGCCAGACCTGCAGCAAGCTGAAGAATGTCTGTCAGACCTGCCTGCTCGACCTGGAATATGGTGTGTACCCAAAAACCTGATCCAAGACAGGGGGCTGCCCTCTGAAGTGGGAGCTGGTGAAATCACTTTAAATGTGTGCATGTTATTGTCACTGGACAGTCTTTGAGAAGGACAGGTCTTGGTGGTCATATCTCTTCAGAGGTTCAAGTGCAGAGTTGTTTCCCTGAGCAGCAGATGATTTACCTCTGGTCACTGCAGGTTGCAGAAATAACTGTTTCTGCTCTTTCAGCTTGTTCTTCATATGGATTGGTTGGGGTTTTTTTGTTTCATTTTAGGTTTGCCTATCCAAGTCCGGGATGCAGGACTCTCCCTTAAGGATGAAATGCCTAAATCTGACGTCAACAAAGAATACTACACCCAGAACATGGAGCGAGAGGTAAGTGTAGCCAGCCATGATCATGCTTTTTGGGTGGCTGTGTGTGGGGAGGAAAGGGCAGCAATGACCTAGCTTCTCTTAAAACCTCATGCTTGCTCTGATTCTGTGCATTAGTGTTCAGTGCTGATATACCCATTATTTGTGTTCTACCTGCTTTTAGATAGCCAATTCTGATGGCACTAGACCAGTTGGTGCACTAGGAAAAGCTACTTCTACCAGTGACATGCTGCTGAAGCTGGCCCGAACCACTCCATACTACAAACGCAACCGTCCTCACATCTGTTCCTTCTGGGTAAAAGGAGAGTGCAAGAGAGGAGAGGAGTGTCCCTACAGGTACAGACACAGCTTGGACAGTCCATCTGTTCACCACGGTCAGATGCAGCTTCCCTTGGAGATGCTGCAGTGGGCAGGAGACACTGCAGTGATTTGGGTCAGGGCAAAACTTGAATCCAGTGCCAGCAAATGAATCTCTGTGGTGGCCATTTGGTTTGTGAGAAGTTGGCTGTGTCCTTTGCCAAAGCAGTGACTGCAGCTCTTGTGTAGTCAATTTTTCCCCTTTGTGGCGTCAGTCCCCTCAAGCAGAGATCTTTGTATTTGAACAAGAGGCTGTTTCAAACCCAGCTCTTGTGTTTTGTAGTGCTGAGTGTTGAGCTGTCAGAAGCACCATTCATTCAGAACTTGACGCAGTCCTGGCTGCAGTTGAAGTTTTCAGGGCTTTGTTCCATTTTGGCATGTTTATGTGGACAGGGTTAAGAGTATAATTGACCTGAGGATTTGAGAAGGGAAACTGGCAGCTACAGTAGTTTTAATCCATTCAGTCATCCTTGATGCTATAAAATGCTTTGTTTACTGAACCTTAGACATGAGAAACCTACAGATCCAGATGATCCTCTGGCTGACCAGAACATCAAAGATCGTTACTATGGAATTAATGATCCTGTGGCTGACAAGCTTCTGAAACGAGCATCAACCATGCCCCGTCTAGATCCTCCTGAAGACAAGACTATTACTACACTGTATGTTGGAGGCCTTGGAGATACCATCACTGAATCAGATCTAAGGTGTGTTGGTGAATTTGTATTCCCCTTGCCTTTTTGTTTGACACTTTGATAATGGCTCTTCAAGTGAGGAGCAAAAATAAATCTGGCTTTCAGGTTTTTTAATGGGGAACTGGTTGGTGGGCAAGTGCAGAGGAGTGCCAGCTTGTTGGAGAACAAACAGGCACATTTCAAATGCTTGGATTAAAATTTATCTCTTTAAAAATGAGTCATCCCTTTGAGCTGTTGTAACCCTTTTTACAAGGAGGTCCTGTATCCTCTAGCAAGCTGCTGCAGAGCTTTTATTGCTCCATAATTGCACAGTGGGCAAATTAACTGATTGATTCTTGATTTCTAATGATTAGTTTGAACTAGGAATGGAGAAGAGAAAATTTCTGAGTATGCCTATTTCACCTGCCCTATACCCTGTGACTAGGAGGAGTGGGGTATCATAATAATTTTTTTTGTCCCATGCAGAAATCACTTTTACCAGTTTGGGGAGATCCGGACGATAACGGTGGTGCAGAGGCAGCAATGTGCTTTCATCCAGTTTGCCACCAGGCAAGCTGCAGAGGTGGCTGCTGAGAAATCCTTCAACAAACTCATTGTCAACGGCCGCAGGCTCAACGTCAAATGGGGAAGGTGAGTGTGGGGGGGAGGAAGCTTGGAGGATTTGCAAGTTCTTCTCTCAGTTTAGTCTTGATCAGCAGGATTTGGTATAATGCAGAAGTTGATAGTTGTTTGGTAAATAGTTGGGGTCCTCTTGCATTTTGGTTTTCTTTTTACAGTGGGATCTGGCTTGGAGATGACACAAGTAACACAAGGGATTTCTTGGTTGAGGATTATGGATGAGTTTTGGTAGCTTTGCTCCTAGTCCATCTCCTGTAAACACTGTTTGAAAACTTGGTACCATCTGTCTGATGTTCTGCAAGTTTTTAATCTTTGGCCTGAAGAAATGGATCTGGAATAGATAATGTGAATCCACTGTGGTGTAAATAGCTCCTTATCCTGCTTTTCTTATCCTTGTTCTCCAACTTTTGCCTGTTTTTCAGGTCCCAGGCAGCAAGAGGAAAAGAAAAGGACAAGGAAGGCACTACGGAATCAGGAATAAAGCTGGAGCCAGTTCCAGGACTTCCTGGAGGTAAGGGAGTTGTATTCATCTCTGAAACACTTAATGCTGACCCACTCCAGGAGTAAGACTGCTGTTAAACTTCCAGGAGTAGTTACAGTTCAGGATGGTAGAGGCAGTGATGAGCCCAGAGCAGGTTTGCAGCAGATCCAGCTGGATGGGAGATGAGCTTTGTCTAGGAGCAGATCCTTGATGAAAAGAGAGTTCTTTATGTGATGAGTGAAAATTTAAAGCTGAATTCAACTTACTTAGATCATAGATACTGGCAACCCACGTTTTTAATGTTTTCTTAGTCCACTGAATGTTGTATGATGGACACAGCAAAGCTGGTTTCAGATGGAGAAAATTGGTAACTGGGGTTTCAGGGCAGTTCTGCTTCTCATTCCAGTTCATACATGAAATAGTAGCAACAGTTTACCCTTTTGAAAACATGTGTTGTGCTCCATCTCTGAAGGCAGACACCTCTGCTTGTTTTGCCCGAGAGATTTTCCATAACCATATATACTTTTTCTGCAGCCCTCCCCCCTCCTCCAGCTGCAGAAGAGGAGGCTTCTGCAAATTACTTCAATCTACCTCCAAGTGGCCCCTCAGCCGTGGTGAACATTGCCCTGCCACCTCCTCCTGGCATCGCTCCACCGCCGCCTCCAGGTACCTGTGCTTCCCCCTCGAGTGGGGGTGTGAAATTCAGTGTTAGACGGTCTCTTCCTCCTTGCCAGGCCATGCTGCAGTGCTGATGCATGCCCTGAGCTGATTTTCCTCATCCCTGATCACACAGTGAAAACGGATGATCTAAACTGAGCTGTCAGCACAGTTTAATTAAACTGAGCTGCCTGTTGTGGTTGGTATTTGCTTGCAAATTCCCAGGCATGTTGGAGATCGCTGATACTAGTACTGAGACCTGCTCAGTGCTTTTGCTGGCTGTGTCAATGCCACATTAACCCGAACTTCAAAGGGTAATTTTGCAGATGGTTGAATGCTGGCATGTTCTTGACTCTCTATGTATCTATCCAGAGGTGCTTTTTTTTTAAATTGAATTTTGGACTCTCACCGATGTATTTGCTCTGCTCTGTGGTTGAGTAGAAAATATTTAGATGGGCATTACAGACACTTGCCTAGTGCCCCCACCAGCTTTTTTTTTTAAGGATGTGTGTTGGGTAGGGATTGGCCCTAGTTGTACTGAAAAGAGGGGCAGGAGTTTGGGGTGAGGCACAGGTGTCAGCCAGCTGTGGTGTCAGTACTTTGAAGCAGCAGTACACACACACATCAGGTTTTCTGTTACTTTGTCTGAAGCTGCCAACTTCTGTTTCTGCAGGTTTTGGACCACACATGTTCCACGCCATGGGGCCCCCACCTCCCTTCATGAGAGCCCCAGGCCCCATCCACTACCCGTCCCAGGATCCCCAGAGGATGGGTGCCCACGCAGGAAAGCACAGCAGCCCCTAGCACGTCCTGCCACCCTCATCCTTCAAGTAAATGTTATTTTCTAGTTACCATGGTAGCAGCATATGTTGAGCTGTGGGTGAGCTAGAGACGCCTTATTTCCCTGCTTGCAGCCACAGGGCAAGCTCAGCTCCATGTCTCCACTTATAATCGGGTTCTTGATATGTCCCAGGTCTTTCTATTAGTGTGGGGGGTGGGTGGGGGACAGACAGAAGGGCTGTCAGGGGTCTGTGGGTCTGAATTACAGTGCTGTCTATGTATCCCATTGGCACACTTTTGAAATAAACTTCTGGAAAAGCAAAACCAAACGCTTTTCAAGCCCTTTTGATATCCTCAGTTGGAACGTTATGGACTGTTATATGTAAACAGAGACTCTTTTCTGTCAGGTAACTAATGATGTATTATTCTAACGAGTATTAAACCAGCACTGAATAAGAGTTGAAAAACGAGTTCATCAGACCTGCTAAATGCATGGCTTGATTTTACCACTACACAGAATTTTCCTCCTTCCTTTTTCCTGACTTCTTGATTTAAAAAAGACAAGAAAACAAAGCCTTTTTAAGCACATCACTTCTAATCCTTCACATCCTGAGGAAGACAAGTTCTGGGTCAAGTGAGCAGCCCCCAGGCAGTGTGGGTATGATGTGGAGTGACAGGTCAGCAGTTCCTGATTTAGCCAGATGGCAGCCCCCTCTGCCCAGAGCCTGGGCTTGTGCTGCCTGCAGCTGCAGGGCAGGGCAGAATGCAATTGCAGCTGCTCTTGGGGAGATGTGGGGCTCTCCAGGGCCTGTGAAACAGCATCCCCTTAATGTGACATGGGTCCCACTTCATCTTGCTTTGATAAGTTGTGAAACTTTTCTTTCTGTGCTCCAAGTGTAGTGGTGACCTTGGAGCAACTGCATCCTGCCTGGAGCTTGCAGCTGAGTGAGGTCTCTGTATGTGTGGCTGGAGGATTTTAGATTTATCTGATTTTTATGTGACTGCTGCCACAGCCAAGATCCTACATGGGCAAGGGCATGCACATCCACTTTTAGTTTTATGTGCTGTCCTGTACAGAGACAGTGGGTCCCATCATGGTGCCAGCCCTGCCAGGCTGTCAGAGGAGGTGTAGCACTTGTGGCACCACAGGCTGGCTTTCTCTGGAGAAAGAGCTGGGCTTGGGGTGTGGGTAATTCTGTTTTTGTCAGGGGAGGGCTCACCCAGGGTGGTGTTGGACAGCAGAGGCTGCTGGTGGCTGGGAGAGGGCTGTGGCATTTGCCACTGCTCTGGCCCAGAGTAGCCAGGACCTATGAATGCTGTAAGAGATTTGGCATGCAGGAGGCTTCACATAATCCCGATTTATTTATTATTTCCAGCCAGTTACCCAGGGTGCCTAGGTTCTGCAGATGCTGGACAAAGAGGAGAGAAATGGAGTTGGAACAGGGCAGCAGTTAAGCATCATAGATTTATTGTTTCTAAGGAACAAACCATTTATCTTTCTGTTTGCTTGCCCCCTCCTGCTTCTGTGGGAAACAGAGTAATGAAAGCTTCCCACCTGAATATGTTGAGGCAGCAGAATCTGTGCGTGGGGTTTCCTCTGCACAGCGTTACAAACTTCACAAATGAGGGAGCTGCTAACTGCATTTCTACTACAACATTTACTTGCCCCATTTAACCACAGTGCTGGAAAAAGGAACTTTTATCCTGGTGCTTTTGGGAGGATAAGAAAAGTTAATGTTAAGAACCTGACAAAAGCAATTGAAGGAAGCCTGTGTTGAGTCAGTTTTTTGTGAATGGGGTTCCCCAGGTATTCCAGTTACTGTAGGCTGTTGTTAGCTGCATGTCCCACTGTGTGTCACTGCTGGAAATGCTGGTGTAGCTGGATCCTCATTGCTGATTTTCATGTTCCCTGGGAAGCCTGTGCTTGCTCTGGAGGCACAGCTGTGCTGCTTTTCCTTCCTACTGGTGTTGAAGTTACCAGAACACCCTCAACAGCATCCTCACACTGGTGTGGTTCTGCAGGCAGTGGGTCCAGGCAGGGCCTGATCACTGACCAACTACATGAAGCAAATCTGTCATAAGTCACTCTAAGAGCCTAATTAAATGTTCAAGCAAGACATGCAAAGAGCAGTAGGAAAGGGGAAATAGCTGCCAAGTGCTAGCCAGTAGCTTCTGGAAAACAGAGCACAACTCCTGTGTTCCTCTCGCCTCTATTGGGCTGTGCTGTGTTGGAAAACAGGTAGATTCCCACTCCTTTGTTTGTTTTTGTTGTCCAGCCAAGCTCAAGGTAGCTGCTTTAAACATGCCAATGCCTCAAGTAACTTGTTTTGCTACTGCTCTTCCATTATCACCTCCTCTGCATCCAGACTGGAAGGACAGATGCAGAGCTGTCCTGAAGATGGAATTTCTCTGCGAAAGCACCAGCTGTTCAAGCAGGTCTCGTGTGCCAGTGAGGATGCAGTGAGGCAGCTTGGTGTGTTGCAGCTGGTGGTGCTGCTGTTTTCCATGAGGCAGGATGTTTTGTACGGGAGCTTGTGGGGATCTGCTGGATTAACAGTGAGGACTTGGCTGGTTGGCTTGGCACTGACTGCAAGGAGAATTCAGAATGGTCCCACACTTGAGCTCATTCAAACCCCACTTGAAGATGACAACCCAAGCCCACCAGCTGAGCTTCCACAAAGGATACCTGCCCTCCCTCCCCTCCCCTGCGAGTGTGTCCGAGTCCAGTGAGGGAACCATCCATGGCCGTGGGGAAGGGAACACACTTCCTACAGCTCTTCACTCTCCGGCAGGATCCGCACCCAGCCTTGGGCCACCCTGTTGAAGTTGGGCCTGTGGGAAATCACCTCCAGCACACTCAGGTTATCCAGCTCTACGGTGGGCAGAGAGAACAGCTCACCAACCAGTGCCCTGTCAAACGGGGCTGGAGTCCTGCAGCACAAGGAGAAGCACACTTAGTCACAAGGAGAAGCTGTTGTGAAGGTGTTAGAAAAAACAAGGCTGGATTTACTGAGGCCAGCACAATTTAGCAATGCCTGTTGCATTGCCTAACCCTCCTCTCCTTCCCCAGGGCAGAGCCCTACCAGCCCAGCGAGGTGGTTCTCTGGTACAGATCTCACCTCACCTCAAGCTTTGGCAAGCCTGGAGAGTGGGGTTTGATGCCTGGGTGTTGGTGGAAGTGTTCTGCACATGGAAGGGCTTAGATTCAGAGACCAGTGACAATGACAAACCCCTGTGTCCTGCAGAGGGCTGAGGCTGATGCTGCTCAGGGTCACAGCAGCACATGCAGCTCTATTGGCCCTGGCTCCATCCTGCCTTTTGGGACGGCTCCTCCTGAACAATGACTAACAGGCGTAGCAGTGTGGGGGCAAGAGCTGTCATCTCTTTCTGGAGAAATGTGGAAAGGGACTGGGGAAGAGTGTGCCAGCCCCCAAAAAGCCAAGAATGTTGGTTTTGGAGCAGCACATAGGGGCTGAGCTATCAGTGAGGCAAAACTGGGAATGTTTGCTTTGGGAAGCACAGCTAGAACATGAATAATGTGGCATTGTTTTGCAACAGAGGAGAAATAAGAGGGGGAAAGGCAAATGAGAGAAGTTTGTTCTGAGAACTTTCTTTTGGGAAAAGAGAGACTTTGTCAAAGCTTGGTTTTCACTCTCTTAAGGCAGCACAACTTAGCAGGGTGGCCCATGTTTTTGCATCACAGTCTAAATATTCAAAACTGGGGATAAATGAGCCTGCTTTGATGCAGTTACTGTGGAGATGGTGGACTTGCCCTTGCTCTGTGACCCATGAGAGCTGTGCTGGATTCAGCCATAGACAAGACCACTGGCTTTTTGATAGCCAGTTTGTTCCAAAAGGTTTGGTTTCCTGTGCTTGATATTTGAACTGAGAAGTGATTTAAAAGCTTGGAAGATTGTGAGAAGCCCAGTTAGAAGCAGATTGGCTTTCTGAATCTTCCTGCCTCACTGAAGAATTAGAGGAGGTGGCAAGAGGCTTGGAGTTAAATTAGCATCCATCTGTATTAAATTACAGTTGAAGACTTTAAATAGAAAGGCAGTGTGTGAGAGGGGAGAAATGGTACAGGGTAGAGTATTATTCAGAAACATGCCCTTGCTTCAGTCCCTGTCCATAAATAAATCCTGAGGCAGAAACATGGCTAAATGTTGAAAGAAAAGAGCCAAGTGTCTGCAGCGGCCCCTTGCTCTCCCCCTGCAGCACCTCCTTGGCTCTAGCTCCTCAAGGAGAGCCACATGGCAAAGCCCCAGGGCTGAGGGGGAGGAGAGCAGCAAAGGGAAGGTTGTGGCCAGGCTCATCTCTGCCCTTTAGGATGGCTTTTCCCACAAGGAGGGGTTGTGGTCCCCCACAGCCCCTTCTGCCAAGTGCTGACAGCACAGCAGTCGTGTCCCCCGCCTCAAATCCAGCCCTGGGGTGGGCACAGGGGAGCTGCTGCTGTTGGCACATGGGCTTCTGGGGAGCAGTGCTGTGTCCCGGGGCAAACTCCAGTGGGAACTTGCCTACTGGAAGATGACTTTTGCCAGGCCACCAAAGCCGATGTAATTCCATCCTCATGACAGAGGCTTTCAGGAAGGAAGACAGACAGGACTCCTTTTGCTGATTCCCTGGGACGATGTTCAGCTTAAAAGTTGAGTTCTCATTATTCTGCCATGGGCTGCTGGTGCTTTGCTACCAGCAGATCTCCATCTCCTGGGTCCCCACCAAACACCTTTCCAGAAAGGAGATCTGTCTTGGCAGTCTTTGCCCCAGGGTCCCAGCCTTGACCCCAGTGTAATTTGGAGGTGTGAGGAGGCACCAGCCGTGCTCCATCAGAAGCAGCCACAGGGCACGGAGCTTGCCAGGCTGAGCCACCAGAAACTCCCTGGCCTGGAGGCTTTGGGCTCAAGCAGGTGTTTGGAAGGAATCTGGTGACCTCTTGGCATTCTGTGGGAAGATTAACCTTATACCCCCACTGCTTCCAGCAGCTGCTTGAATACCTTAAGGAAATTAGGAAAGAGACTTGGCACTTTGTCATTCCTCCATGCAGCCCAGAGCTGAGCCCAGCTGGGAACAGGAGTGATTCCTACTCCAGGGCCATGTCTGTAAGAATTGGTCCTCCCAGATTTCATCCCTGAGGTTACCCAGTGAGATCAAGCTGCTTAAGGCTGTGCGAGCCCAGTAATGGAGCTGAGAGGAGATCTGGGGGAGATCTGCTGGAGGCAGGAACCTTTGCAGGGAGCCACAGAGGAGCTCCTGAGTAGGGAAAGAGCAGCCTGAGCCCTTGCTGTGCCCCTCTGGGGTATAAAGAGAGCATCAATGTTTGCATTTCCCTGGC